CATGACCAAGACAATTAAATGATGTGTTTTGAAATTGGGGCATGGGGTGGGTGTAAAGTTAAAAGGAACAGTTTCCTTTTTTAAAGAATGGTATAAGACTATCTTTGGAGCCACCTTTTTTTCTTTTTTTTTTCTTTTCTTTTTTTTTTTAAGATTGAGTGGTACACTAATAAATGAGAGTTTGAAATTAGAGGTAATTTATGTTTTATATACAGATTTCAAGACATTTGCTAATTTTGTAGTTTCATGTGATTAATTTCCAAAGGCTACAGATAATAAAGAAATCAGAAATGGTACCTTTTTAAGAATTACATATTTTTTTAGAACCAACTATTAGCACATTAAGAGGGAAGTAAAAGTTATTGTCTATTTAAAACTGCAAATAGTTACTCTCCTAACTTAACTCCCTCATTACCTAAACTGTCTGGCTCCTAGGTACAGCCTTATAGAGAGAGGGAGTAGTACTGAGAGGAAAATGTTACTGGACTATTGACAGAAAGTAAATTTAGATAAAATTAAAACACCATTTTTTCTTTATGGGCATTTTGTTTCAAGTCATCGTATCTAGGTATTGCATTGCTATCAGTGGATACAGTTGCTTACATCTTTAAATTTAAAAAAAATATGTGAAGTATTGAGCATTTGCTTTAGCCCACTTTAATGTATCTTGTCTACATCAGTCTTCAAACAACCATATGCTACCAAAGTAAATCAGTATTTTGAATGTGTTTCTGTTTAGTTTTTGTTCCTAGTTCCTGTAAGCATTTCCAACAAAACTTGAGCTTGAGGCAAATCATAAGGAAGCTGTTTCTTTTAAAATACAGACCACCACCAAAAACTGAAATGTACATACTGCTCAAATGTTTGGCTGGTTTTTATTTTCGAAAAGAATTAAATACCAAAAATAAGTTTAAGCACTGTATGAGGATAGAAAACAAGACGATAAACTCTCTGTAACTTTGTCTAAGCCTTTAAGTGACTAACTAGTTACATTCAATCTGAATTGAACTCAATACAGGATTTCTTATTTGCATAATTACATGGTTTCAGTGTATTTATACTGACCTGTGGCCTCAAAAGCACATTTCATTTAGTGAAAATAGAAAGTGCATCTGCGAACACATTTTATGATCTCTCACCACATATACTCTGTTAAATTTGTGTACTGTAGGGTTGTTTGTTTTGTATTTTTGTATTGTATATGGGATTTTTTTTAAGGTGACAGTTAAACATCTTTAAATACATAGTCACAAACAAAAGAAACATGGTCTAACGATTTCCTAAAAACTGCAATGTTAAATTTGGAGGCAGCTTCAGAAGATGCGGCGGTGGTGATTACTTACTGGGCTTTTTTAGTAGGAAGCAACTCCCGAGAAGCAGCCTGTGGATATGCCCAACCCTCTCACATTTAAGTTTAGAATAAGCCCCAAGTCAAACAGTGGAAATGTATATAGTACTATTGGTTCTTCCATGATTTAATTATATCAAGATAAATAAATTTTACTTACTTTTGTGTAGGCAGACTATCCATTTTTGTCCATTTTACTGTTTGTTAAAATAACATCCCTCTCCTGCGTATTCTTTGCTTGACCCCAAATGAAATATTAACCTAAGGTCAAGATGAGGAGAGAGAAATGACTGAAATGAATGTCTTTACTAAAATACCAATAAATTTTGTCAAACTCAATAGTGTTCAGATTTTCTGTTCTATTTAATTATTGCTTGCTGTTTGGGTTTGGTTTTTGTCTGTTGTGTTTGAACTCAGGTCTCACGCCAGATAGGAAGACACTTGAGCCACACACTCTTTTTGCTTTATTTTTTGATAGGGTCATTTGGTTTTTGCCAGGGCTAGCCTCTGCCTGCCAGAATTGGCCTACCATAGTCTACCATACCAAGCTTGTTAGTTGAGGTTCCTTTTAATCTCTCCCCTCTGAGTAACAAATTACAGCTGTGAGCCACCATGCCTGGTCCTGATAATAATCAAGAGTTCTTTGCTTTTGTCTTTCAGGAGTGTTCTAAAATTATCTTATTGTGGGTTTACACATTTCTTGTTAAATACTCATTCCAAAGTATTTAATCTTCATTGCTATTGAATGGTATTTTCTTTTTTTTTCTTCTGTCAGTCATGGGGTTTGAACTCATGGCCCGGGCACTGCCCCTAAGCAGTTTTGCTCAAGGCTAGCGCTCTACCACTTTGAACCACAGTGCCACTTCCCAGTTTTCTGATTGTTAATTGGCGGTAAGAGTCTCACAGCCTTTCTGGCCCTGGCTGGCTTTGAACTGTGATCCCCAGATCTCAACTTCCTAAGCAGCTAGGATTACAGGAATGAGCCACCAGCACCTGGCTTTAATGTATTTTCTTTACTATTATATAGTGGTTACTGTTTTTGCTTTAAATTTAAACTATATACAGTAGATACTCTTATTTTAAAGATGAAAAAAATTGAGGGATGGAGCAGCTTCCCTGTGTCAAAGGCAAAGTGAGGTCAAAATTTGAACCTACGTCTTCAGGTTCTAGACTAATGTGGTCCTATAAAGATATTTGACTAATAACACAATTTCAACTTTTCTAATAGCCATGTTGAAAAGGGAAAAAATAACCCAGTGTAACCAAAGTACCCATAGTAAATTATTTCTGTAGAAAATTCTAGTATACCATCATCCTTAAAAATCATTTTATTGGGCTGGGAAGGTGGCTCAGTGGTAGAGCTTGCCTTGCATGCATGAGGCCCTGGGTTCGATTTCTCAGCACCACGTAAGCAGAGCAAGCCACAGCACGTGGCTCAAGTGGTAGAGCTCTAGCCTTGAGCAAAAGAAGTTCAGGGACAGTGCCCAGGCCCTGAGTTCAAGCCCCAGGACTGGCAAAAGAAAAATAATTCCTATTACATGCTTTCATCAGGAATGTTGAAGGCTGCTTTCTGCATTGCTTTAACCGAGAGGGAAAGGACATGAGATCCCTAAGGGGAGAGGGGAGTAGCAGACTATCAACTAGAAGAAATTACCTTAGGGCTCAAGAGGCTGAGATCTGAGGATGGCGGTTCAAAGCCAGCGCGGACAGGAAAGTCCATGAGACTCATCTCCAATTACCCACCAGAAAGACAGAAGTGGCACTGGCCTGGAACTATGATCCATGCTCAGCTTTACCCACTGCACTCAACTTTATTAGTTGGTACGGAGTCTCATTAAGAACGGTAATCTGTCCATTCACGGCTAAGTAGGAAAATTATATGCATGAACCATCACTACAGGACAGGTGTACCGCTGTGCTTTTATCCTAAATCTTTGGATTTTCTCCCAGTACTACTCTTCAGGAACACTTTACGTGCAGCATATTCATTGAACTATAATTGGTTATTGTAAAAGTCAAGTGATTTCTGTATGGTCTATAAACCAACAAACTGAAAAATAAAATGAAAAGATAATAGGCATCAGCTGGCTCATGCCTATTATCCTTAGTCTGGAGGTTGAGATCTGAGGATTATGGTTCAAAGTCACCTCAGGGAAGTCCATGAGACTCATCTCCAATTACATACACACAAAGTGAAACTGGCTAAAGTGGTGTAGAGCTAGCACAAAAGCTCAGGGACAGCACCCAGACTGAGTTTAAGCCCCAGGACTATCCCCCCCAAGACCCTAAGAAATCCCTTTCACAATTTTTTTTTAAGGGGTGGGGGCTGGGAAGGTGGCTCAGTGGTAAGAGCGCTTGCCTTGCATGTACAAGGCCCGGGGTTTGATTCCTCAGCACCACATAAACAAAAAGCCAGAAGTGGTAATGTGGCTCAAGTGGTAGAGCGCTAGTCTAGAGCTGAAGAGTTCAGGCTCCCATGACTGGCAGACAGACATACACAGACTCCCATGACACAGACATACACACACAGGCAAAACATATTCGTGTTCTGCTTTTGGTTTTTTAGGGAGGGTGAAGAAAGGGAGAAGGAACAGATGCAGTCATAGTATCCAGTATACACTATGGAAAATGAACTATGCAACTTGTGGGCAAGAATAGGGAAAAACAGCTTAATACTAACAAGTACATTTTCAAAAAAAAATTTTTTTAATCTCATCACTTAAAAAGTACTATATTGTTGGGCTGGGAAGGTGGCTCAGTGGTAGAGTGCTTGCCTTGCATGCCTGAGGCCCTGGGTTCGATTCCTCAGCACCACATAAGCAAAAAAAAAAAAGTACTATGTTGCTTGCACCAGTGGCTCAAGCCTGTAATCCTAACTACTCAGGAGGCTGAGATCTGAGGATCGCGGTTCAAAGCCAGCCCAGGCAAGAAAGTCCGTGAGACTCATCTCCAATAAAGCACTAGAAAACCGGAAGTGGCGCTGTGGCTCAAGCATGCATGTGCCTTGAGCTGAAGAGCACAGGGACAGCACCCAAGCCAAGTTCAAGCCCCAAAACCAACCAAAAAAATAAAAGTACTATGTTGGGGCTGGGAAGGTGGCTCAGTGGTAGAGTGCTTGCCTTGCATGCATGAGGCCCTGGGTTCAATTACTCAGTACCACATAAGCAGAAAATGCCAGGAAGTGGCGCTGTGACTCAAGTGGTAGAGCGCTAGCCTTGAGCAGACAGCTGAGGGATAGTGCCCAGACCCAGAGTTCAGGCCCTATGACTGACAAAAACAAAAAAGTACTGTGTAAATCAACAACAAATAGCCCCCAAATTTAGCAGTTTCTGTTGCCCTAAAAAATGACCTGAATTGTCTTTTGATTAAAATCCATAATATGGTGGCACATAGCCATAACCCCAGCAACTCAGAAGGCTGATGAGATAGGAAGACCACAAGTATGAAATGAGACTGGGTTACAATAGCAAGACTGTCTAGGGGGGACTCATTACTGCTGCTATACACCGTTTGTGTTTTTTTTAAGTTTTTTTGTTGTTGTTGGGGACTGAACCTACTCTCTGGACATGAACTCTACCACTGAAGCCATTCCACCAACTATTTAGTTTCTGATATTAAATACATGAAATAAAACTGATCCATGATTCAAAGCTTATGCTTTAAACAAGATTGAACATCTTTTATTTACATATTTCTGACATACATAAATGGGCTTTCACAATTAACTAAATGTAGTAACAATGGTAAAATGGACAAAATACAATTTCAAGTTTTAGTTAGACTGAAAAACTTTTTCACTAACAGTAAACAATCAGCCATTACAACAGGCTGTATGTAGATTCACTTAGTCAGCCATACAGCTACTGAAACAAAAATTTGCAAATGCAAATATTATGTATGCAAATATAATGCATGCAGCATGGCTATCACATTTATACATAAAGCCATTTTTAAAGTAAACTGGAATAAAAGCATCTTTATATGTACAACAAGGCACATTCTTTTTTTGTGCTTTAGGAATGAATTACATATGATCTGTATATATCTTAATTTTTTATCTTAAGATAGCTTCTAATACCTAAAAGCTTAGTTTTAACAATTATAGCTTCAATGGTAGTTTCCTAGAGAAAAATGTGAGATTTCTCCATGGTTATCTTAAAAGTCAGAAAATTGACTAGCTTAAAGAGGAAGAACTTAAAAATCAAACACATGAATCAATATAATTTAGTTTTAGGTAAATTTTCAAGATTTTTTATTTTGGTAGAAGCATAATCAAGTAGTATCCTATAATGAGGCTGTACTGAAGACTTTTCAATATTCTGAAATTTTTTTGACAATTATATGGTATCCACAGGATGTCCATATTGCTATCCTATTTTTCACCTGCAGTTTTTCGACACAAACATGATACAAAAGATGAAAACATAACCAAATGTAACTGTGCATTCATTAACTTATTCACTCTTTTCAGCAGAGATTGTTTTAAATTAACAGTCCTATGTTAGAGGAGAAATTTTCCATCAACAGTGTTTAATAAACAGTACTCATTTCTCATGGCCACTTATATGCCTGGAAGAGAAAGCACAGTAAGGCCTTAACAGGAATTTTATGCACTTTAATGGCATTTTAAAAATCAGGTACTCAGTTTATGGGTTCCCCACAAAGATAAATATATTGTTTGAACTTGATTACAACACATAACTCATTAAGTGCTTTAAAACAGAATAAGGAATCCCTGACTCAAAAAGGGTTAAATAAATAGCAAGTTGTAAATCACAGACCTACAAAAAATTAAGTAATAAACCTATGCATCCTATGAAATGCTTTATATTAAAAATTTCTTTTTAATCCACAAGTAGCAACTGAAATCACAGAACTGTATTTTGAGAATAAAACAAAAAAAAGCTAACTGGTGTAGCCTTTGAACTCAAAATATATAATAATGTCAAAATACAAATAAAACTGTACAACTTTAAATTTAGTACAGTCATTTATGAACATTAATTCATAAAAAAACATACCATGATAAACCACTATCAGCAGACAGAATTTTGTTCTCCATTTCTTTACAGTACAGACTTTCTACAGAACTCACTGGCCAAAGGAAATGGCACCAACAGCCCAGAGCATTGACACAGAAACCTTAAAGTGGATAGTCACATGGAACTGTAAACAAACATTTTGTGAGTTCAGTGTACAAGATGTGTCTTTTTTGCCATCACTATATTCATTCTGCTTCTGAAATATGTGCCACTTCTACTTCGACTGTTTGAATAGCTTCTGCCACTTCCGAAAGCTTCTGTCCTTGCTGCTGTGCCAGAACATAATTCACCACTTGCATAATACTTTGGTCAGAAAGCGTTGATACTGATGGACACTCCTCAGTAGCTGCAACAGCTTCAAGAACTTCCATAGTTTCTCCTGTCACCACCACCGTCTCAAGCTCTTGAGGACCACTGCTTTCTTGTTCCTGCATGTCTGCAGTTAAGATGCTAACAGCATGTTCCACTTGAGTTCCTTGGTTATGAAACTGAAGGGTGTCTTTTTCCAGCATAATTTTGCAAGGCACATAGTCTCTGTGGAATTTAGTCATATGTTTGCGAAGCGTCCGGGCATCTATGTAGGCTTCACTACACACAGGACACACATAGGGCCGTTCACCTGTGTGTGTTCGCACATGACGTTTTAGAGACCGAGCGTCAGCCCAAGCTACTCCGCATGTTAAGCACTCAAAAGGTTTAACTCCTGTCAAAAAAGAAAAGTGTGGAGAGGAAAGATGGGAGAAAACATAATGAACTGCAGTGTTAAGGTATGCTCAATTTCCAATAATGGTTTTTTTTTTTTTTTTTTGGCGGTTGTTCTGGGCTTGGGCGCTGTCCCTCAGCTCTTCAGCTTAAGGCGAGCACTCTACCACTTGAGCCACAGGGCCACTTCCGGTTTTCTAGTGGTTTACTGGAGATAGGAGTCTCGTGGACTTTCCTGCCCAGACTGGCTTTGAAACGTGATCCTTAGATCTCAGCCTCCTGAGTAGCTAGGATTTCAGGCCTGAGCCACAGGCACCCCAATGTTTTTAAAGTACAGTACCAGTGCCTGTGCTCTTACACTTTGACTATGACAATCTTTTTAATTAGCACCTAATGGCTTTCCTTACACAAGCTCTATCTTTCTGTGATGTTGTTAGAAAATTTACATGAAATCTAACGATCACTGTCCCATCTGCATAAAAGCTTCTCTCTCCAGGCAACTTCAATTATATTTCAAATACCAAATATCATTCAAAAATAAGTAAGATAGAATTTACAGACCAATTTAGTTTCTAGGTTCAACCTCATTTATCCCTTCATGGTTAGGGTAAGGAAGGAAACAGCCTTCTAATTATTATGTCCTCGGTTAAGTATCAACTCTATTATTTAAGTCTTTTCTAAGGCATTAAAGGTAAGAGCCAAAAGCAGCATTGCTGGATTGGCAAGCATTTTATTCAGATATCTATAATGCTAAGTTACCTTCATGGTTGTTCATATGTCTCCTGTACTCTCTCAGCTGAGTAAATTTTCTTCCACACTGTTCACACACCCGCTCCAGGTTTTGCTTTGCTCTTCCTTTCTTTCCATGGGTGGCTTTCTTTACATGCCTTCTAAACAAAGCTTTTTCATAAAATTCTTTGCCACATATATTACACCTAAAATATGGGAAGGGACCTCAATTATTTTGTCCAACAGTCATTAAGAATGCATTGAAGTACATACACTGCTCAATTAAGTTTAAATCCGTCTCAAATTTACTCACCTATAAGGCTCAGTGACAGAATGAGATTTCACATGGGAATACCAATCTTTCTTCCAACTATAGCACTTATCACAAAATTGGCACTGGAATGGCTTCACACCAAGATGCTTGTTCATGTGCTGACGAAGATCTCTAGCTTCAAAGAAACTTTTTTCACATCTAAAATGAAATTTAGTTATCTAATTGGATTATCTCTAAAACAATAATAAAAAAACTCAGTATATTCATTTCTAGAACTCTGAAAGATAATCCCAAAGTTAAAGCAAAAGAATTCCCCCGTTTTCCAGTTTTATAACCTTTTAAGTTCTTTAACCTCTAAAGCACCATGTATAGTGGCCAAAAGTTATTAAAGAGAAAATGCCTGTCCATCTTACCTCATCCTGGTTTTGTTCTCCTATACACACACCCTTCACCACCACCTTCCTGCCCTGTCCCATGTTGGAGGTGAGCAGCTCTTTAACCACAGACCATAGGGATGAAGCCCAAGATTCCCTTGGCCATAGAGACTGACTCAGGGATAGAAAAATAACAATATAATTAGAATGAACCTAAGAACTTTTATAGAGAATAAGACAGTAAATGCTGTCTCAAAGCCTGGTGCTCTATCACTTATGTCACAGATTTTTGCTGGTAAACTGGAGTCTCATAGACTTTTCTGTCTGGGCTGGCTTTGAACCAGGATCCTCAGAACTCAGCATCCTGAGTAGCTAGGATTACAGGTGGCGTGAGCCACCAACACTTGTACTGCCAGAAAATGATCTTTTATGATAATTTGAAGAGGCTAGAAATTAAACCACTGCCATTACCATGTGTATATAATAGAAACGAGTTCACATTAAATGACAGACTTCTAAGCACAAAAAAACTATTTGAGGAGTTTTTATTGTTTTGTTTTGTTTTTTGTCAGTCGTGTGGCTTGAACTCTAGACTTGGGCGCTGTCCCTGTGCTCTTCAGCTCAAGGTGAGTGCTCTACCGCCACAGAGCCACTTCCGGTTTTCTAGTGGTTTATTGGAAATAAGAATCTCACCGAGGGGCTGGGAAGGTGGCTCAGTGGTAGAGCGCTTGCCTTGCATGCCTGAGGCCCTGGGTTCAATTCCTCAGCACCACATAAG